CTAAAAAAAAAAGAAAAATTGATTCAAAATTTTAAAATTAACTAAAACGGTTATAAAAATATTGAGTGTATCAAAAAAATATACTATAGACGTGTAGAGGAGGGTATCCACTAAAATGTAAATGCAGTTTCAGTACTCTTTGCAAGAACCAATATAGAAACAAGGATATTAAAGAATCTGCTGAACAAAAAGATAAGAGACAAAAACAAACCAACAAAGAGCCAACAATCTTCAACAAAAACGTTTAATTACAAATAAAAAGGAAATATTTTGGTAATATGAGAAATTTTACTCAAACTTCTAAAGCACAAATACAACCGTCTGTCGGGTTGTAGAAATATTTTGGTAATAGAGATAATTTTCTCAGATATCCTTTTTGGACCTTTAATTAGGGAAATACACATGATGGGACATAATTAATTATAATGACCAAAATACCCCTCGCCTCTCTCTCATTTTACTCTCATCACTCTCTCTTTCTCTCCTGACATTCTCTTTCCTGACACTATCTCTCTTGCATTCGATTTAACTTCTTCCCCATTCTCAAATTCTATTATCATTTTTTTCTTTATCATTCTCTCTTCTAAATATTTTTTTACTCATTCAAATATATATTTATATATATATTTATTTCCTATGTAGTTTTAAAGAATAACTTTGATTTTTTATATTTACTCATTGTGATAGGAAAATTAAAAATTCTACATTATATATTTGTTAACAGAGACATTAACTGTTAACAAATTTTGTAGACGTTAACAGACGTGTTAGCTGTTAACAAATACATGTATCAGATGTGTTAACAGAGACATTAACAGTTAACAAATTTATTAACAACTAACACCTCTGGTACATGTATTTGTTAACAACTAACACATCTATTAACATTTACATTATTTTGTTACAGATAACACATTTGTTAACAATCGGTGATTTTAAAGATATTGCAATGATGATTTTCTCAATCTGTGGTGTAATTAAACAAATCAATACTTTGTTTCGTGTGTTAATTAGTTTTTAACAAATAAAAATTATTTTGTTTTGTGTGTCACTTAGTTTTTAATGAATAAAAAAATTGGATGAAAAAATATGGAAGAAAAAATAATATAATAAGAAATGGAAAGAGAGTGTAAGAGAGGAGACGAGAGAGAGTGTCAGAATAATTAAAGAATCACAGAGGAGTTGAGAATGCAAGAGGGACTTTATCGTCCAACCCAAGCATAATTATATGAAATCTTATTCTTATGTCCCATCATGGGCATTTCTCTAATTAGAGCCTCTATTTTGGGCATTTCTCTAATTCTCTTGGTAATATGTTACACTAGGGGTTTGTCCGCGCTTCGCGCGGAAGTTTTAATATATTAAATTTTAAAATTGGTATATTTACTGTATCTAAAGTAGACTATGCTAATACTATTTTTAAAATGAATAAATCTCTAGATTATTGTATTTAATATGAAAATTTAGAATATATATATCAAGTTTCAAAAAAAAAAAAATATATATATATATATATATATATATCTTAATCACCACTTTTTAATACTATAGGATGTATTAAAATATAATTATATTAGTATAACTAAATTGATCAATTCCATTATTTGTTTAAAGTTATGTTGATTTTGGTTATTATGATTTGAAAATTAATATTAATGTGGACTATAAAGATCTCAATGATTATAAGTATATATATANTATATATATATATATCTTAATCACCACTTTTTAATACTATAGGATGTATTAAAATATAATTATATTAGTATAACTAAATTGATCAATTCCATTATTTGTTTAAAGTTATGTTGATTTTGGTTATTATGATTTGAAAATTAATATTAATGTGGACTATAAAGATCTCAATGATTATAAGTATATATATATATATATATATTTGTTTATGTTTTATATGAAGATATTTATATATAGGTTAGCTCTTTTATGGATTTCCAAAAACTGGTTCAAGTAATTAAAACATCGATCACGATTTGTTACTGTGAACTGAGAACTCAAAGCAAAGTCTCATGTTTTTTGGGATTATAAAAACATGTGTGATTGGATTTACGATGCTTATGCATCCAATGATTTATTTTCTAATGGGTGGGGGTGGGATATCTATTATTAGACAGATTGTTTGGAAGCACGTAATCTTGCTTTATTCTACTGATGTCAATCTGCAATGCATGAGTTCAAAGATGCTATGGATAAGTTCCATGTTGGTGACTTTCTGTTTACCGACAACACAACCTCTATGAACGAACCAACAAAACAGAAACACAAACATACAAATGAGCAACCA